CTTGACATCCTTTTTAAATAAAGAATCCCATAATAAACACAAAATTGTATTACCGAATATTTAATATTTAATATGGTTTTTTTTTTAAATTTCGTGGGTTTTGCTTAAACAGCAATACAGTACCATATACTGTTATTGTATAATTTTTTTGTATAAATATTGGTTTTTGTAGTTATTTTTCTTTCTCATTGAACGCACCAAATTGTTGTGTGTCACTGAAACAAAAGTGTATGTTCAGTTGAATAAATAAATATGACATGACCTGTATAGGCAAGGTACCATTTATTAGAATTAGAATTAGAAACTGTTTAGTGCGAGCAGTGCTACCGTATGTGAGAAATATTTTTTGCTATTGCGATCGTATGGGTTGCAGTGTTGCGCCAGCTTTTCCCTAACAGGGGACTGGTATCTTTCAGGGGGTTAGTTCTCCCGACAGATAAACTAGTACTCTTGACATCCTTTTTAAATAAAGAATCCCATAATAAACACAAAATTGTATTACCGTATATTTTAATTTAAAAAAAAAAATCCGACAAATTTAATTTTTTCTCCGACTGGGGTAGCGGGTCGTGTTAGTTCAACAAACTACCCCCACCCTTTCCAAATTAAAGCCATCCATTGCTACCTGCGTTCCTACTTAATCTTTCAGTATTATAAGAGAATTTAATATATAAAATCATTCAATTTGTTATTGCCGCCAAATTGATATAGCCGCAATGATCTAGCATCATCTGAATTTGGGACTACGTCTACCCTTCGATGGTTACATGTTGAGAATACGTATTGGCATATTGTAATCGCCAACGAATTGGGTGGGTATTCAACGTTTTTCGATATGGTGAATCTATTTTGATTAGAATGTTATTGTTAAAGTGATTATATAAGAATTAGGTAAGTCAATGTCAATAAAACAATCCGTGTATTTAAAATATCGGTATAATTAATAGGGGATTAATCAGATGGCTGACGCCGTTCTCCATCAACAATTGATTTTATGTGCATCATTTATATGTACTTTTCTTATTTATTTACACTAAACAATCTTTCACTCACGCTTTCATCTGAAAAACGTCACCAACAACGACAGAGTGACGGTGTTCCACGTCTAAATAGCTGTTCTCTGAATAGTGATCGCATCTGAACATTAATCATGCAGCAACATGCTTGGTCAGCTTGTAAAAATTCAGAGCCTTCTGTTGTTTGCCAATAGATCAAATTTTGGAGCGTTATACAATACGGCGAGTTAATATTTTCATCGTTGAAAACAATAGCTTTAAACAAAATTGGTGTATACATTTTAATGGCCCATTTCTTAAATTATAGGACCATTAATTTTTACATGCATTTGTGATACCGTGTAATAGACACGCAAAAAAACATAGCTGTATAATAGATTTGAATATCGTTTTAGACTGATTCATTCACATGCTTGGTCATCTTGTAATCATTTAGAAATGATTGTTGGGTGCACTTTAATTTCAACAGTTTCTAATAATAGGGTCCGTGTCTCTACACTTCTAACAAAAAATCCCAAGATACCAAGGTGCCATTAAAAATCCCAAGATCTTGGGATAAATCCCAAGCAGTGGTCACATTGCAACATTGTACATGAACAAATTTTGTCACGATTGAAAACAGCAAACGGCCACATAATGCAAAACTATTTAAAATTAAAACGGAACAGTAGAGAAAATCCGATCAGAATGACAAAATAAACTAAGCACTGGAAAGAATCCCAATATCTGCAGACGGATCCGTTTCGGCCTTCCCGGCCTCATCAGTGCAGCTAGGGTATAGACCCAAACGAAACGTTCGACCAGCTTAGGTAGGGCCCAAACTAGTCCCACGACCACTAATGATTACAGAGCCAAACCAAGGCAATATATATACACAGCCC